TCGCCGGAGCCCAGCGGGTCGAGGCTGCGGGGGCCGGGAGCGGCCACTGCACTCCAGTCTGGGCGACGGAGTGAGACTCCAACTCAAAAAAAAAAGTATTATGCTCTGAACAGTACTCATGCCACCTTGCCTTAAAACCCACGCCAGGTTTAAGGAACCCAAGTCCCAGATGCCGAGGAACTTCACAACATAGAAGTTAAACATCTCAGCATGGGACACAGGGCCCTGTAGGACGTGACTATCTGTCTGAAGGCCCTGCATATAAAATGATCAACCTGCTGACTGGCATGTAATAAATGATACTAATTATAATAAATAATATTAAATAGCAATATTAATAATAGAGACAACAAAATAAATATATTTGTAATAATATTAGCATATTTGTGTATTATTATTTATATTATTTATGTTGTTATAAATTATTTTATGTAAAATACATGGCATATTATCCTGTACTTTAGCTGAGGCTTAATAATTGTGAGTTTCTTTTTTGTTTGTTTGTTATAAAGATGTGGGGTTCATTTCAGGGTTAGGTATATAAACATTGGTCATGCAGGTACCCTTGTTGATGAGGTATGTCCCTCTTCAATAAAAGAACTTTCTTGTCTCCTTTTCCAAACAGAAAAGAGCAAAGAACTCTGGACTTAGGAGAAAGTCCTGGCTGACTATGGCACAGAGGCATTGGCCCTAGTTTGCAGAGAATAGAGTCAAAGAAGATAAAAAAGATAGAATTCAGTATAAATCCAGGCTTTTAACCAATACAAACAGTTGAAACAAACCAAAGAGACCACTTATAAAAGATAAATGGCATAGGCATCGGGCATAGCACAATGTAATGAAAACAGAAAATTCCAGAAATAAATGATGAAGTTATGTAGAGAGTTGTCATTTGAGCCTGCAAACACTTCCTAAATGCTAAGGAAAAATTTTTCCGTGTATTTCTTGCAGCTTCCATTAGCCACAAGTTGTGAAAGAACTGTTAGTGGACCACGAGAGGCAGGTATTCTGTTGATGTGGGAATGTTTAACTTCCCATTATCACCTCCTAACTTAATCACATATTTTATCTGTATGGTATATCTTTCCATAATTTTACATTTTGAATACTAAAAGAAGCATACACAACCCTTTCTATGCTATTTGATGAATATAATGGCAACCATTTTTTTCTTTTGCCAGCATTAATGTATTTTAGTTTTTTCTTTAAAACATCTTCCCCATATAGCCTTCCATTCCTGGGACTAAACTATGTGCATACTCATATTGTTCCAGGGCAAAAAAGTAGTTAAGAGTGGGTGTGAGACCTCCAGAGTTCTCTCTTCCTCATATAGGAAAATCTACGTAATTCATTCTGGTGCAGCCATAACTCAGAGGCACCTTCATCAACCTAGATCCCTAAGTGGTCATGTACAGCAGAGCACCCCAACAGCTTCCAGGGAGCATGTACTACTTTATGTTGAGTTATTGAGAGTCCAGCTCCAATTTACTACTCAAACATCAACCTGTCCAATCCAAGATACCGACGAATGCTGGACTAGGGAAAAACAAGGATATAAATAACAGGAAAATTTATTGCTTTTGTCTATCAAGGTGAAGAAAAAGGTAGACTTCATAGAAAGAAGAGAATCAGATGTGTGTCCTAATCCTTCCTTTCTAGGCTGTCTACATCAATCTAGGAATTTTTCTCACCAAAGTGAATGTGGTGGTTAACATGGTTATGGAGAGGGGCCTAGAAATTTAGCTTAACTTGTGATCTCTGTTTTCAAGTGGGGAAGATGAAACCCAGAAGTTTCCCCAGACCCTGAGAGAAGTTCACAAATCAGGTGGGCTTAAATTCAATAAACTTTCTATGGGAGAAAGAACAAGGGCATCAAGAGAAACTGAAGATCGTTAATTAATATTCTCTTTTCTATATCCAGACACTATCCTTGGGAAGCATAGGAAAAAGAAAGGAAATAGGAAATACTGACCAGTTATTCCAAAAGACTATCATCTAAAGGGATGACTTAAATCATCAATTCAGATTAGGTTGTTGTTGTTGTTGTTGTTGTTGTTTTGAGTCAGAGTCTCACTCTGTCACCCAGGCTAGAGTGCAGTGGCACGCTCACAGCTACCCCAGCATCGACCTGCTGGGTTCCGTCAATCCTTCTGCCTCTGCCTTCCAGGTAGCCAGAACTACAGGCATGCACTACCATGCCCGGCTAATTTTTTTTATTTAAATGTTTTTATCTTAAAATTGTGGGGTACAATTCAGGGTTAGATATACAAATATTCATTGTGCAGGTACTCTTGATGATAAGGTGCATCTCCCCTTCCCCAGGCAGTTTCCCACTACTACCAATCCCAACTCCCTCCCCCCCACACCACCACAGGTTCCCACTACTGTCATTCCTTTTCTTCTGGTATTACAATGTTGTTCAAGGTCCACTTATGAGTGAGAACATGTGATACTCAGTTCTTTGCTTCTGTGAAAGATCACTCAGTATTATAGACGCTAAGTCCATCCAGGTTGTTGCGAAGTTCATGATTTTTTTCTTCTTTATGGCTGTATAATATTCCATTGTGTATATGTACCACATTTTTTTAATCCAGTCCTCTTTTGATGGACAGCATGATTGGTTCCATGTTCTTGCTATTGTGAACAATGCTGCGATAAACATACATGTGCAATATCTTTTTTATAGAGTGATTTGAGTTCCTCCGAGTATATTCCCAGTAGGGGAATTGCAGGATCATATGGAGGGTCCATTTTTAGAACTTTTAGGTATCACCACACTGTTTTCCACAGAGGTTGTACTAATTTACACTCCCACCAACAGTGTAAAAGTGTTCTCTTTTTGCCACATCTTCTCCAGCATCTGTCATTTTTTGAGTTATTGATGATGGCTATTCTGCCTGGAGTTAGGTTGTATCTCAGTATAGTTTTAATTTGAATTTCTTTGATGACTAGTGAGGCTGAACATTTTTTCATGTATCTGTTGGCTGCTCTACATCTTCTTTTGAGAACTTTTCATATCTTTTGCCCACTTTGTAATGGGGCTGTTTTTTTGTTTTTTTCTTTTAGCACGTTTGAGTTCCTTGTAGATCCTAAATGTTAGACCTTTGTCAGACATACAGTTGGCAAATATTTTTTCCCAGTCTATGCGCTGTCTCCCCGCTCTCTTGATGATATCTTTCACTTTGTAGAAGCTTGTCAGTTTGATGAGGTCCCACTTGTCTATCTTATCTCTATGGCATGGGCACTTGAGGTTTTGATCAGGAATTGGTTGCCAGTTCCAATTTCCATAAGAGTGTGTCTCCTGTATTTTCTAAGGTTCTTATGGTTTGAGGTTTTACGTTTAGGTCTCTGAGTCATTTAGAGTTGATTTTTGTGTATGGGAATAGATAGGGGTCTTGTTTCAATCTTCTTCATGTGGTAAGCCAGTTTTCCCAGTACCATTTACTGAATAGGTTCTCCTCTCCCCAGTGGTTGGTGGTGGAGACTTTGTCGAAGATGA